TTTCAAAAAGGCCTCCAAACATAAAGTTAAACAAAAGACTGAAATTAAATTGGATCTCTAAATTTTGAGGCTCTAAGCAACTATTTTAATGCTCGGGCCTAGGACCGCCCGACTGTGTCTCATCCTATTTAAAGATTGAAATATATGTGCATCTTACAAAAGTTGTAGTCTTTGCTCATTTCTCACTGTCAAATCTTCGTCCATGAAATCGATTAAGTGAGACAAATTGAATACTAGATGACGCACAATGATTAAAAATAATGTGTTATTTTATATTTTATGCATTTTTTCATTGATCATTGTACGGTACTATTAAAGATGTTCAATATTACAATGTGGTGTCACATATATTTTTTTTTTAGTAATTTAGGAATCTAATATATATTACACAATACATGTGTGTTATTTCATACTCATGCTTTCTCCGTGAAATTGTTCAATACTAATATCCATAGGACTTATAAATGTACATAGATTATCATTACTAAATACATATTTTTTAACAAACAGATCCGTACATCTTTTTGTCTCTCTCATCTCTTGTTTGACCCGCACTTTTTAGAATACAGTTTATTATTCATTATTATTTTTATATTCTTCTTATTAATTTATTTTGTATGTTTTTCATTAAATTGTGATATTACATGATTGACTATTAGTATACATTCATAATTCCTTGTTATATTGTTATTGAATTATTTTATCAAGTTCAAAAAATATATTATTTTACTATTTTTTAATTTTTTTTATATAATTCTTAACTTGTTTATGTTTGCAACATTCACCTACTATTTTGTTGTGTTTTTTTTCTCTGATAACAATTTTATTAAGTTTTTTATATTAATTATTTTTTATTGTGGATCCTTTATAAGAATGAACAATTTAATTAGTTGGTATTTTTATGTTTAAATAAAAACAAAATCAAGGTTTAATAAACGGTGTTTTTTCGGAAGAGAGATGCTTATTATACTTTTTTGTTGAAGTGTTAATCTTTTTTTGTCCATTAATAAATTGTGTGAGGTGGACTGTACTTTTGGACATAAATTTTAAATTTTAAGTTTTGACGTAATCTTTTAAGAGTTTTTTTTTTAAGCTAAATTATAATGAATTTTAATTTTTGATCTATATTTCATTATTGAACTCTAAAATTTCGGGTCTCTTTTATATGTGTGGCCTAAAACTCATGTTTTTTTTTTTTGGCTCTATTGTTGAGCCCACCTTGCGTTTCTTCCAGGGCCGGCCCTATTTCAAGGACAACAAAGTCTGGGCTTTAGGCCCCACATTTCAATAGGGGTGTTTATCCTATTTTACGGGTAGGAAATATTTTTTTCGTCTTCCTATCCAATATTTTGCGAAATAATTTTTCTTGGGTCACCCTACTCGATCAGGTGTGGTATTTCTACCCGATTATCGGGTAGGAAGTCGGATAAACACTTTTGTAATTATTAATTTTTTGATTATTTTAATAATTTAATTAAATACATGCACCAATTTAACAATACAAAATTAATAACAATAAAACCTAAAATAACTATAACAACAATTACAATAAAACACAAGAAAACACAAACATCTCTCAATCATAATTGTTACACAAATATAATACAATTATTTTAAGTTTAAACTATATGAAATATATTAAAATCATAACTGCTTCAATAGATCACTAGTTCACCACAAATCATGTAACCTACCCAAAAAATAAGTTCATATTTTAACAACTCAAACATCCATAATAATGATAATGTTATAATATAAATTATGCCACACAAATACTTTTATAATTACTAAAAAAATATAAAAAAGTTAAATATATTTTTTGCGGGTAGGATAGGGTAGGAATGCGAAAATTGATGAATATTCCGCATTTATACCCGATTTAATCGAAATACCAAAAACTAATAACATAATCAAATCGAGTTCAAATTGAACCCAATTAAACCAATTTACAAATTCAATTGAACATAAGCAAACTGAGTTCACAAATCCAAATTAAACCTACTCGAATCGAATTTAAATCGAACCTAATCAAAACAAATCCAAATTGAACCTAATTAAACGAACTCAAATTGAACAACATCCAACAGAGTGTGTGCGTTTGTGTTTCGTGTGTGTGTGTTTTGGGGAGTGGTTGCTCATAGGGGGATGAAGGAGGCGGGTTGTGCGTGTGCGTGTGCGTGTTTGTGAGACGGAGAAGCAGAGGAGGGAGGGGGGAGACTTGGTGGGGGTTTCTTTCTGCGCAGAAGGGGATGCTTTTTTTGGGGGGGGAGAGAGCTAAGTGTGGGTTCGTTCAGAGTGTGTGTGTGTTATGTGTGAGTGTGTTTTGGGGAGTGGGTTGTGCATAGGGGGAAGAAAGGGGGTGTGTTGTGGGTGTGTGTGAGATAGAGAAGAGAGGAGGGAGGGGGGAGAGCTGTGTGGGGGTTTCTTTCTGCGCAAAAAGGGGAGCTTTTTTTTTTGGGGGGGGTTTGCGTGCGTGGGTGTGAGAGAGAGAAGTAGAGGAGGGAGAGGGGGAGAGCTGGGTGTGGGTCTTTTCAGTGTGTGTGAGAGAGAAAGAAAGAGATAGAAGAGGGATACTTGAGAGTATGATGGTAGTGGCGGTCTTGCTATGGCGTCACTGGTGAGCGTGACACAGAGAGAGAGAGACAAAGTAAAGAGTGAAAGAAGGAAGGCAAAAAAAAAAAGAAAAGAAGAAAAAGAAGATGAGAGGGCGGCAGCATGGTGGCTTCTCTAACAGTGGAGTGAGTGACGGCTGAGGTGAGGGAGGATGGGGTATATTTAGAGGGGAAAATGTATTGGGGATAAAATTTCAAAGACCTAGTTGTTTTATTATATAGATAAATGCAGCATATGAAGTAAGTGAATTACATAAAACAGTTGTGGTTCACTTATGTTAATTTTGCAGGTCGTGACATTGGAGTTAATCTTCCAATTTTGTTAAGGTCTATTGTCACAGAGCTTCCCTTGGATGGAAGCACAATGCTTCGGATTGGGATGACTAACCCTCCTTATATTCTCGAGCACTTGAAAGGCATAGCGGATGTTTTGTGTCACCCATGTGTGTACTCCTTTCTTCATGTACCAGTTCAATCTGGGAGTGATGCTGTGTTGAGTGTAAGTGTGAAATTGGATAGTTTTTTTGTTTTGTGATCCTGCCAGATTAGACACACCACTTGTCATTTGTTGTTATTTCTTCTTCTTAATAATTGATTTCAGGCAATGAATCGGGAGTACACTGTAAACGAGTTCAGGATGGTGGTAGATACATTGACTGAGCTGGTTCCTGGAATGCAGATTGCAACTGATATCATTTGTGGATTCCCTGGTTAGTCTGCCATTTAGCTGCCAACTTATTACCCTAATGCCATTTTTGCTCACTTTGCATATAATAAAAGTGTTGGTTCTTTGCAACAAATTGCATTATTTAGCTATTGCTCTTCAGCTGGTAATAGGCCCTTGAATCCTTTGTTAAGTCACCCTTTTGGGTAGTAGCAGATTCTCAGATGTGTACTTTGGCCCCATCTGGTATTCAAATCCTTAAATTAGTCATGATATATTGAATAAGTTGGAAATAATCATACCACTTATTCATTTATTGCAGAAAGGAAAAAACTTATATTATATGATATGCAACTCAGGACTCCAAGCTGGTTTTTAAGTCATTTGTGTTAGGAAATTACTCAATTGTAATTGGCTAATTCTGTGAAGTCACATTTTAAATCTCAACCTAAGTCCATGGTCATGATACTTCAAGCTCAATACCTGAAAGCTTTGATGAAGGAAGTCGTTCAAGCTTCTAAGTCATATAATGAAGACCTCTCTTGGACCTTCAAAGCTTAGGAACGATAATGACCTATATACCTTAAAACCTTGGTTTTATATTTTGGCACATTAGGTTTGTTTAAAATAGATTTAGAATAGTTTGTCAATGACTGTTTTTTCATGAAGATTTTTGAAACATTGAAACTTGTTTTGAAAACATAGTTTCAGTCATGTATCAAATCTTTATTGAGCAACACTCTTTAGTGTTCAGGGGGTAAGTTTTTGCTTGGTTTCCAACTTTAAAACCAATAGGGACTATTTCGGCTTGCTCGCCTTTGACTAGAGCGATCTCTGCATACTTAGGGAAAAATCAAAGGAGGCTAATGAGGTTGGTAGCAAGACTGCCCTCCTCATTCGCAGGCTTCTCGAGCAATCTCATGAGGACTCAAGTGATTCCCGTTCTACTCGGCTAGTTTAATTCTTCTTTTCATTATTGGGACAATTACTATCTTACGACTCGATTGATCCCTCGCGAATTTCAATTTTCTTGAATCCCAACACTACTCTAATTCCAAGCCTACAATTAGGGCAAAATTCTCTAACCTAGGGCATTTCTCTATTATATACTTAAAAGCTACCTCTTACACAAATAGATAGCGAAAAATAACGCTAGATCCCTAAGATCCAAAAGTTAAATACTTTTTGATCCTTCAAATTCAACCTCACATATTGAAGAAGATCTTGTGATAAACCACTAGAACTCACATTGGTTGTGTGGATATTGAGAATCTTTGGTGCGTTCTTGAATATTACTTGAGATCTAGATGGTTCATTGCGGTGATTGCGCTAGTTCTCAAGACTTCGATGGGTATATTTGGAGGAGAAATTCAAGGAAGAAAGCATCTAACTATGGGTGTATTGGTTGAAGTATAAGACTTATATCCTTGTAATTGACTTTGAGAATAATGGATTAGGTTAGGTGAACCGGGATCGGTTCTATGTTTTTTCTTGAGAAGGTTTCCATGTTAAATTGTTTGTGTTGTGGATGATCTCTTTATCACTTTAGTTTTTCATACACGCATGCAATTGGACACACACACAATGTGTTTAATGGAATGATTAAGTGAATTCATTATCTTTCATATTCCTCAAATTGGTTTTGTGGTGCTTGGCTTAATTGGAAGGGTAAGGTGGATTGGATTATTGGTTGATTGTTGACATACATATATCATTCATTCATTGAGGTTGAGTTGTTGTTCATTTGGGAAAAGGGGTTCAAGGACTTAATTGACCAATTAATTAATTAATTTGGTAATTGTGATTAATAGGTTTAAAATTGGTAATTGTTTAAATGCGAAATGTCATAAACCTATTCCCTCCCCCCGATAGGTTGACGGGAAGATCCTTAATACACTTCCCCAATTTGGGTGATGTTCTAGTCACAATGTTAGTCCATAGTATTAGTTTATTAACATGACAAAAAACTAAAAACGAAGAGAACTTTAAAAGTTACAAGTTTGCAAATAAAGAAGTAAAAAAAAGGAAGAGAAGTTAAGTATAAAGCATATGATGATTTTTACTTTAAACTAGACACAAAAGATGGAGAAAAAAGTATATATACACTTGCTAAATTAAGAGAAAGAAAAGCTAAAGATGTCAATCAAATTAAATGTATAAAGAGTGAAAACTATAGTATTTTGGTACAGAATGAGAAAATTAAAGAAATATGGAAGAATTATTTGAAAAGTTACTAAATGAAAATTATATAGAAAGCTTGGACATTGAGGAAATCATAGAGAGATTAGAGAAAATACATTTTTTTTTGTAGAATTAAGATGTCTGAGGTAAATGAGATATTAAAAAGAATGAAGATAAGAACAACTTTAAGACCGGATAGTATGCTTATTTGAGGTTTGAAAGTGTCTAGGGGATGTTGGGTATCATGTTAGCTAAATTATTTAATAAAAATGACTAAGATAATACTCGATGAGTGGAAGAAGAGTATTTTAGTACCTATATATAAAAATAAGAGAGACATACAAAGTTACATAAACTATTGATATT